TGATCAAATGTTAGACGGCAAAAAGGCGGTGAGTTTCTCCAAAATCGCTGGTCAAATACATGGATGCTAATAGATGAGAAACTAGAGAAACCGTAACCAGTATGTCCATCAAATGGGCCTAATGAATACAATTATCCCGATCCCTACTATATATAAAGCGCTAAGTCTGTCTGTCTTTCTGTGTGTGTGTCACGAAATTCATAGCGCGCGTCGCAGCAGTCGTCAGAAGTTGATTCTATGTTATGATATAGGGACGGGACGGGAACATATTTGGTGGGGACAGAAAGTGATAACAACTGATAAGATCTGATAAGAGGCGCTAGAATGCAAGTATCACGAAATTCATAGTGCGCGACCCAGCAGCGCTGAGGTGCTGTCTATTAGATATAATTAAGGTGGTTTGACGGTAGCATGTCTGGGGGACAGAGAATGACAATAGTTGATAGGGGGTCATAACGAGCAGCTCGAGGATGGATGAGTCACTGAAGTTGTTATCTATGTAGATGCGCGATGAGGAAGCATTCCATCATTCATGAAATAGGCGTCAACATTGGAATTCATTCAACCACTAACCTCTCCATACTGGGTGACTGTGTTCGTGAAAACTGTTGAGCTGTTGTTGCTGTTGAGTGTTCCTATTTCATTTCATCACCACCAGAAGTTATTCAACCGCTAAGCATTCGCTACACCGAATTATGGTACTTGTTTACGCTAATGGCTGACGGTAAGCAGTCCAAGTAATTGAATTAGTTATCCAAAGCTTATTCGGCTGCTAGACCCTTTTGTTCCGAAAAATGATGGATGTTATAGGTATTGATGAGCTGCGGGGAATGATTGTCTTATCACCAGCCCTATAGTAAGCTTTCTGATTACTTCAGTCGAATCCATTAAAAGCGTGCATGTTGCCTAATACGAGAGCTCGGCTGTGCTCAGTTGCACTGAAGTTTGCTTTGATGTGGGCGCGTAGCGAGCGGATTTGAACTGGTAAAATTATAAACAGTTCAGCATTGTGTTCATGATTCCCTTTAATTAGTACAAAGGGAGGATCGATCAAGATCTAGTTTCCATCTAAGTGCACGCGCGAAACGGAAACTAATTTTCTTCATAATTGGACTATACAATAATGTATCGTTATTTGGTATTTTATCACAGAAAATCTTTGACTCGTCTTACAAACTTCGATTTCATTTGTAGACATTGATCCACATGCCTTTCCATATCTTGTTGTTTTCTGCAATTGTTTTTGTCAGTGGTGATTGTACGTTAAGTTTGTAGTTCTCATGTAGTCTTTATTCAGGCGTCGGTATCAACACCCACGTTATCGCAGTCTCCGCTTGTTAGTGAAGCTTTGGCCCTTGCTAAGTCAAAAGGTTTGCGAGGAGGATACATCGAATTCATGCGTTCGAATACTGACGAGAGTATAAAACGGTCATTGTGAGTCTGCTTCCCCTTTGTCTTATACACAAACCAACCGAGTTTGCACGGTCTTGACAGTTCTGGTGAGCAAAAAATACGGCATCAAGATAACTTATGGTTAGTCATAAAAACCGAATATGGTTGAAGAGACTGACAATCCTAACATATTGGTAGAAGAATACCAAGTAGGAATTAATTTATATTTCTTCTTGGACATGCCTCTTTCTGTGCTGATAAACAGATTTGTTAGGAACACTTCGACCCTGCTGTGTAGGTAGGTGTTGTCGAGAGGTCCAAGCCTTTCAAGAGTGACTGTCTACTAGTCGGTGTTCTGATTATGTTGAAGCAGTGGGTATATCTTCAGCGAGGTAGGGATTGCTGAGTGGTTAAAAGCGTAGACTCACGTCTGCCTCTCAGTGAGCTGCGAGTTCGAACCTTGCCAAAAGTGTTCTAGTTTTATGTCAGCGCCACGCCCAGGTTTACAGGCCTGCTGATAAAGGTCTCCCGGATCCTAACGGGCCAATACAGCGGGCTTGGGGCATTGCGGCTGAGACATCCTGCGATGCCAAGGAGGTACTGGGCGAGACGCGAGGTGGATTCAGAGGAGACAAGGCAGCGTGGTTCTGGAACGAGGAGGTCCAGCGAGTCGTGAAGCAGAAGAAGGAAGCATACAAGCGCTGGCAGAAGACCCGGAGCCCCGAGGACCTCGCTGCCTACAAGAGTTGCAAGAGGCTCGCTAAGGCTGCCGTCGCCAAGGCAAAGAACACGGAGATGGACGCCTTGTACGAGAAGTTGGAAAGCAGAAACGCAGAGAAGTTCGTCTTCAGACTGGCCAAAGCCCGGCATCGGGCTACTCAGGATCGTTTAGAGTGTGAAGAGCAGCAACGGTAAAATCCTGAGGAAGCCAGCCAAAGTCGTAGGGAGGTGGGAAGACTGCAGTATATGTACTTCTGAGCTAGGAGCTCCCCACAACGATGGATGGCACCATCTTGCTGTAGGCAGAGGATGAAGTTTGTAGTGAACTTGGGAAGATGAAGGTTGGAAAGGCAGTTGGTCCAGATGGAGTGCCAATCGAGGCATGGAAGGCGCTCGGAGAGTACGGCATAAGGTGGCTCCAGCTTCCTGAACAACGGTAACTGCGGAAGGAAAGGATGCCGGATGCCTGGAGAACAAGTACTATCGTCCCCATCTTCAAACAGAAGGGTGACGCGATGGACTGCTCCAACTACCGCGGGATCAAGTGACTGCGTATACCATGAAGCTTTATGAATGGCTGTCCGACTTGTCCCGGTCTCCCAGGAACAGTTCGGGTTCATGCCCGAAAGATCTACAACGGATGCCATCTTCATCGCAGGCAAGTGATGGAGAAGTATCGAGAAAAGCGCCGACCCTGCTACCTAGCCTTCCTCGACCTGGAGAAGGCGTTCGACCGGCTACCGCGAGCAGTACTATGGAGAGCGCTCAGGGAACGGAACGTGCCAGAACACCTGATCTCACTGGTGAGGGATATGTACGATGGGTTGAAGAAAGCGATTACGGTAGAGGAAGTGCATCAGGAAAGCAAACGCGACACATGATTCAGCGATTCGCGCTGCCAGGGAAGCGAAAAAGCGATCCGTCCGCTACTTAACTTGGTGATTTGGACGAGCTGCGTTGTCAGCAGCGGCACAACGTCTCGATTGAAGCGTGGTTTGGCATGTGCCACCAAACGCGTTGCGGTGAACTCGTTCATACGTCCGCTTTCTGAGCTGTTACCTGTTCATGAGTGAAAACCAACGGCCAAAAAAGGGGGTCCCGTTTTGCGTTTTCTTGACGGATTTCTCTGCTTTTTTCGCCACTGGCGTACCATTGAGCACCACCATGTCTCCTTTAGCCCTTTTTGACCTGTCGTAATCGCTGCCTTCAAGGCAGGAATACGCACTCAGCACGAGCGCGGTCCATGGTGCACCCCTATAAGTGAGGTAGACGTCACGGTTGGGGTGCACTAAGGATTGAGCCCCTTCCCCTTTCCTCCTAGTACTAGATGTCCTGGTGAAGGGCTCATGGAGGGACCACTAAAGACCATACACCTGACGACATCGCCCTGATAGCGGATAGCAGAGAGGAACTTCAAGCCAAGGTGCAGAAATGGCAGAAGGTGGGCTCCGGCTGAATGTCAAGAAGACCAAGTTCCTGAGCTCCGAAGAGGGTGCAGAGCCGATCGTGGACGGCCATGGTGAGACCATCGAAAGAGTGGAGGACTTCCGCTACCTTGGGAGCGATCTGGCTGCTACGGTAGTGTGGATCAAGCGGTAGTGGGATGGAAGGAGCTATGGAACGCTCAACGGGAAGGTGTACCGGACAGTGCTGAGGCCTGCGATGCTATACCGCGAGTGTTGGCCCTGAACCAGAACCACGAGAAGCAGATTCGTTCTGCTGAAATGAATGCCGAGGTGAGCTCATATGGGCTGCCATGGTCCCACGAGCACATGCTGTTGGCAGCCCATATGGGCGGCCATCAGAGTGAATGTGTTAAAGAGGGATATAGCGAAAAACAAAATGTTGCGCAGAGAGATAGGAATTATCTAAGGGCGATCCTCGAAAGTTCGACACGAGCATATCATTAACTATTATATTTTTGTTGCTGGATGTTCCCACGGCTCCAGTTGCATGTCCCGATGGTGAAAGGCTTTTTTCATCGTGGAACGCTTTCTCTCAGTGGGACTCTAAACTCCCAAGTCTTATAATTATCACTTGTGATCAGGAAGCATTGGGATACCTATAAAGACCGTGTTTTAGTCGACAATGAATGGCGTTTTCACGCGACGGGCATTTTTATCGCCTGAGTGTTTTCTTGAACATCGAATGTTGAGGAGATAGGGGTGTACTATTTACTTCGGTAATCGGCAAAAGAATTGACCGCCAGTTTTTGATATATACATCTGTTCTTGTGCATAAAACTTCATGGTATTCATATATCATTCGTGAAAGAAGCATGTTTTCTCATTTCCACGCTTGCTAACCAGAAGTGCTTACTACGACATACATACAGGCGTTTTCAGTGAGGAGGTCAAGAAAGAGTTGACTAATCGTCAGTCATTTCTCAAGTCAGCCACGTCAGTAGTCCGTTACCTTCAAGCAGCTCGTATTCTGGTAATTTTTATTCAGTTTCACAGTTAAGGTTCCTATGTTCATTGCAATCAGAGTAGGCAAAATTATTGTTACAGTATAATAGATTGGACTGGAGGAAGAGGCGGAAATACGAGATTATTGCTAGGAACCTTGCTCGCATTGAGCATAGAGCAGAGTTGCTGAAGAAAGGAGGTATTGTCTTTGAATAAAAACGCGAGAGAAGTCACAAGAGTTAAATTTAGTGCTCGATGAGATGCCTCTTTTCATCAACGGATCTGAACAATTGGAAGGTGAGATTGCACCTATCGTTTTCCTATCTGTTTTGCTCAATATTATTGTTCAGATGCAATAGTTAGCCTAGATTCCTTCGCGAACTGCCACACATACACATACATTAAGTGAAGTTTGACTGCGGTTGTTTCCTTAGAATAGAGCTTCAAAACAGGCAAGGCATATCTAACCATGAGGCTGCTTTGCGAAGACGTGGCAATTCTTCAGCTGCCTCCCATGATGGATAGGGCCAGTGCAGCTCTTCACAGTGCATATTCGAGCCAGTTCAGCTAATGACCTGGTACTGGCTAACATACAATAGAGGCAGTATCAAAATCAGCTAATCGTAAATACACTGCGTCCCATAATTATACGTCCACCTAAGAATTTCCCAAAATCTCACAAATTTAGATGTTTTAAAAAAGTCTCCAATGTGACAATGTATCAATATAAATACGAAATTGCCTATGAACATCAACTTTCCAACTTGAGATCACAGGAATTTTTTCCAATAATTTTTGTGTAAAAGGCCACTCAGCCGACGTCCCAAAATTATACGTCCACCTCATGTTTTTCGATTACTTTTCACTTCTGTTCCACGAAACTTTTTCATTGTGGTAACATTTTACTTCTTAAGGGAACAGTATGATAAGAATTGCTGACGAGCTATGAAAAAGGTGAGGTCGTCGCAAAATTATTGAACTGGGCAGTCGCACCAAATTTGGACCAAAGTCACGCCGTACTCAGGAATTCTTCAGATATTTTACATGATATGGAGCTCAGAAGAGTTCCGGGGATCCCTCCCTGATTTTCGATGGAAACCGAAGGCCGTGTCACGAGAGAAACCTCTTCTACCAGGCCCTGCTCTGTCAGGCCCTGCTCTGTCAGCGAATCTTCTTTAAAACTTAATGTCTCAACGGACTAATGTTTCGTGCTGCAAAGGAATCCCAAGTTCATTCTTGAGTGGAAATGCGGAAGGCATCATCTGTGGCAAGAAACCGTTTCAAAATTTGGGCTGACCCTCGCATGAAGGCGCACTCGAGTAACTGGAGTAGGGTGCCCTTTTGCTTGATATGTTTGGAGCACTTGTCAGTTTTTCTCCATAAGTTTTTCTTTTTCATGATAGCTTTCTTCTTGGCGAAGCACTGTCAGAAGCCTTCCGTGGCTGATACTTCAACTTTTCTGGAACCTATTTTGGAGCTCCCTTCTTAATCACACTCGATTAGGACAAAATCGCCTTCTCA